TGACAGTAATATAATAACCTGTCAACAAAAAACAAGAGACTCCAGATAAATAAACTTCTGCCATCAAAAGTTTCAGGATACCTCAGCTTGTTTAACTTTTAGTCACTGGGGGGCTGATTCCTGAAATGCACAGAACAGGAAAGACAAAGGGGACAAAGGTAATTTTAAGCCATCTTCATGGACTGTCCTGCAGCCTAGAATCCTCATAGTATAATAGTAGGATTTTATGTTTGTATTTTGTATAATTACAATGAAGGATAAAGAATAATAATGTAGCATGTATTAAACGTATTGCTGTATGATTTGACCATATTCTGCCAGCCACCCTTTCTGAAAGCAGAAAGGAATGGTCTAATGGGCCATTGGTAAAGATGCATCAGCCAGAATCTATATATGAGCTGATTTCAAGGTGGTAACAGACCTTTTAGGGTCACCACTTTGTTGTAGGTTTAGTATTTTAAAATAAGTAAAAGAATGCAATGGTTGTTTTCTCTTGTAATGCAATTTGATGTTCCTGTTCAAATGTTTTGTGTAAATCAATTCTGTGTTGTGTGGGAATGAGGAATGAGTGTGTTGAGATAAGTGTGAAGGTCATCACCGAACCAGATGTTCTAGGGAGAAACCGAGGACAGATGTAAGGGCGCCAGAAGATTGCAACATGCCCCTATTGAGATGTCAGAGGAGGGCAGATTGATGACTCTAAAGATGAGACAGGCACCTATCAATGGGGATAAGATAGCTGTGATCAAAACCAGCACGGGGTAACTCCCTGAGAGACTTAATGAAAGAACAAAATAAAGAATGAGGAGGACAATTTAAGAAAACAAGCACTCATCAAACAATTGATTACAGCATGATGGTGCAAAACTCATTGGTCCCAATGAAGGAAAATCACTATATAAACAGGATGCCTTGCCATGAAAACTTTGGGTTTGTCCTGCCAAGACTTCCCTGGAGCATTGTGTCACGACCAACAGAACCCGTCTCCTACCTACCCGTGATCAACCTAGCAAGCCACTAGATTGATCCAGACTCTGGACTGGTAACCATAACATCGACTGGCGGGACAGAGAGAGAGAGAGAGAGAGAGTGTGTGTGTGTGTTTGAATGCATATGCTAATTGTTGTATCTTCAATAAATGCGGCGTATTGCCTTTTCCCCTGAAAAAGATCCTGTGTGCTTATAAGCATAACAATAACACTTGGTGCTTCTATGATGGGGGAATATGTATATACATATTATACACACCTGGGTTGGGGTTGAAATAAGCCCAGGAGTATGCAGTTTGATATATTTCATCCAGACCTATTTAAATGTTTTCGTCACAGATGTTGAGGGAAAATATTAATGAAAATTCTGCTTATTACTAAATAGACACTGCTGTAATGGACCAGATCCACTACATGTGGACCAGTATTCAGTTTTTGACAGTGGTCAGGAATGGATGCGTACAGAGGAAGGTTCAAGTAACCAACTATGGCATGACTCACCCACAAGGGAATTTTTGGCCTAACTTCAGGCATGTCCTGATGCACGAAAGCTTAACACCTTAATACATTTGTATTGTAGGATCAATAATTATTGTCCTAAAAATATTAAAGGCCTGCTCCATCAATATTCCCGTTCATGGCTGAAGTCAAAGGCAGTGCCAAGGATTCAAGATGAGCCTCCAATTGATAACTTGATTAAGTTAATCAATGCAGACTCTTCACCTCAATCAGACATTGACCAAGTACATCATCTCAGATTATTTTATTGCTCCTATAAATGGTTAGAGAAACATGCATAAGCATAACGTTTACATGAAGGCATTAATATGAAAGCTAACAGTTTAAGCAGGCAATAACCAATTAATCAAACTTCTTTCTCCTCACAAAGTAATTTCAGATAACATTGTACATAATGCCACATCAGCACTTAGAAAAGCTGCCTGATAAAATCTGAAATATTTTAAAATAGACAATGTTTCATCCATTACGAGGCTTGAGCAGACTGGAAGTGCCAGGAGCTTCCAGAAACATAATTAGCTTTTGCTTTCTTCTGCCAGTGGGGATATATTTCTTCTTGGTGCCTTTGACAAGGTCAGGGATAGGTCAAGAGGTGCAAGTGTGAATTCTTAATTAAAGTAGTTTTGTATTGATGTAATCAGTTGTTATGGAGACAACATGTGCAGTATGTATGCATGCAGACAAGACACCCTTTGAAATATTCCAGACATAAGGATTTAGACTCGAGATATCAGGAATTTTTTGGTAATGAAAAAAACAGATGAACATCTTAGAAAAAAAATAGAAGATGGGATAGTAGCTCAAACAGAACTTCACATTTGGTTGTAATATGTTTAGGCATTAGGGTCCAAATTTTCAATCACTGAAAGCTAAATTATTCTTGAAAAATATGCAAGCACCCAGGCAAACTATGTAAAACATGCAGTTGTGAATGCAAGCTAGGTATCTGTTTTGCAAATGTTTATATTTTCAGGTGCATACTAGGTGCTTGTGTGTGTGAAGAGGACCCATTATCTCTTTTGCAAACTAAACATGCATTTGTTTATTTCATTAGTACTGTACTTAATAAGGCTTCTGTTTTTCAGTGTTTATTTTTAGCAATTTTTGAGTTTTATGTAGATGTCCACAATCAGGGGATATCAGGGCTCTCTCTTTTATTAAACTGTAAAGAGTTAAAGTATAGTAAATATATTATTCATTATATTGTATATACTGTAATGAGTAATCTCTTTGTAATGTTCCCTAGTGTGCTTTAATGTAGGGCTGTTTCATACAGCTCTACATTAAAGTGCACTAGGGAACCTTTAGTGAGCACCAGCAGGGTCTACATGGACCAATTAATGTGCAACATATTAGTGCGCTTTAGAAATCACACCCTTGTAGTGCATATTACTGCCTTATGTAGACAAGCCCATAGATGCAAGTAACTATTTCCAGAGTTCTTCTGGTGTTTATTGGATAAATACCAATTTCATTCTTTTTGTATTGGGAGTATTTTATCGATATGAAATTCAGAAGCCCTAACAATAGACCACTACTAAAAAGTAATTAGAATTACAGGAAAAGGCAGCTATTATTTGCATTATGGTAGAACCCGAAGGCTCCAATCTTGATTGTGCTAGGTACGGTTCAAGCATATTTAAGATACAGTCCCTCTCCCAAAGAGTTTACAATCCAAGGCCCTTATCCTGGAGATATTATAGCCATGCTTAGCTTTGTGCATATAAGTGCATATTGTACGCTGTTTGAGGTAGGGCTCTGTCTTTGTAGAGTGCCTAGTGCAATTGGCCACCTGCTCCAGGACTGGGGCTGCTAGGCAAATTATAAATAATACCCATAAACTGAGGTTTGTCCACAACTTCCTCAAGGTCACACATTGAACCAGTGATAAAGCTAGACATACAATTGGGCTCCAGTTCCCTGCTTTTAACAATAGAGTACTATCTCTCCAATTAATAATAGAACCCAACGTTACAGATTTGAGAATTGAGTACAGTAGGAGATTTTAATAAAACTGGGGTTATGACAATTCCCGTAAGTGCCCAAAGAACCTTCTCTTTCCTGCAAACCTAAACAAATATTTACAGTAACCCCTTCTACAAGGGTCTCCGGGAAACAGCATTAATTGAAGTCAATTTTAACAAGATTGATCAGATCAGTAGAAATCCTAAGGAGACTATGGTGATGTAGTTAAAACATCACACACAAGACCTGATTCTTCAAAGATTTGCACACATGCTTAACTTTAAGCATGCAAGTAGTTCCACTGAATTCAGTAGGACTACGCACATGCTTCAAGTTAAGCACACACATTACTCTTTGCAGAATTGGAGCCTTCCTATAACTGCCTCTTGTATATTTTACCCATAATGCTTTGTAGCATTTACTCTGAAACTTTCTATATTACATTCTTTGTCTTAAGTAGAGATATAGGAAACAATACTAAATAGATGAGAAATTGGGATGCATATCCTACATTCTGGTGTTCATTCTAAAATCTTTATTCCAAACTCAGCTTCTTCCAGAAGAAACTGCTCCCTTTTTTCTAGCAATCAGGTGATGTTACTTCTATATATGGGCAGGAAGCACAGTAAGTAACTGTGATGGTTCTCGGGGTACCCAGGACGGTGAATCACCTTGTTATCCTCTGCCTCCAGCATGAGGGAGACTTGCTTGTGCTTAGCTGGGTGGCAGCTTCCTGACACCACCAGCCAGTTAGCCAGTCAAGCACTCTCCTCTGGATGATGCGTGCCCTCATTTTGCCTTGCAGGTTAACAATAGGTGCATCCCAGTCCCAGAGCCCCTTTGCAGCGTCCTCCTGTAGTGTCCAACCCCTTATCCACTGAACACCCACAGAAATACCACATCTGCTGTCCCCAAGGGAACAGTGTACACACCAGCTTGTATGATTCAACTCAGGATCAGAACCTCACTTAATATCACAGCACTTAGATATACTTGTAGCAAAAGCAAAGATAAGATTATCATCAAAGATTCAAGAGATAGCAAGTAAGGATAATGGACACAAAAGGTTAGGTATAAAACAAAACCATAATTCACTTTCTAGAGACTAAACAGGCTTACCAGCTGTCTAAAGAAGTTTACCTCACCCCCCCCCCCAAAAGTCCTCTGCAACCCAGGCTGGTTGTGATCCCATTTTCATGAATCTAAACGCATTGCACGTTTATTTCCTAGGTGCAGGATGAGGGTGGAGGAGGGCATCATTTTTGCCTTCTACTTCTATCCCCAAAGTTCATTGTCTGTATTTTGACACAGTATAACCGTTTCCCCTCCCCCCACCTTATTTGTTTTCCTGAATGTTCTTCCCTGTTGACTTCACATCTCTCTATTGACTTTGCATGTAAATGTATATCCATTGTGTTAGCTTGCAATGCTTAATTTACATCTCTCAACAGGTGAATAAACATTTCTTATCTGTGAGAAAACATGTCTGGCAACCCTGCCTTGATACAGACTTTAAAACGTATTTTCAGTATACCGTATAAACACATAATTCCTTATATAGTATCTGTACATACAGTTCACTATGATATTAATGACCAGTGTGACCCTGGCTTTCATTTAAGTCCTCACATTAGCTTCTTTGGTGAACATTAAGGTACATACCAGAACCAGGACACTCCTGTATCCCCCTTGCTAGCTGGCATTAAGGAATTCTTGGGTTACAGTAACTACTGGATTTTTTTGCTCCACTCTAAAAAACAATTTATAATCTCTGATAAATTGCAAAAAAAAACACCCCAAAAATTAAAAAAATCGGGTGTAAAAGCAACTTTAAATTCTGAAAATGACACTGTAGTACTCAGCAGAGTGGTATATAATATTTAACTAGACCATTATCTTATTTGCAGCACTGATATTGCACTGTTGGAAGAACTTTTTAATATACAAGTAAAAAGGAACACATTATAAAAAGAAAAGAAGGGAAGCTTTAACACATACCTAACTGATCAGCCAGATGTTTACCCTTTTCCAGAGGAATGATTCTTTCATCCTCCATGTCACACTTGTTTCCAACCACAATGACTTGTGCATTATCCCAGGAATAGGTCTTGATCTGAGTGGCCCTATAGCAGGACAGAGAAAATAGATAATGTATTGTCAGTAGTGCCAAAGAATGTTATATGTTAATTTATAATGAAAATAAATACTTATAAACATTAAACCCAATTCCAACTGTAGAGCAGCTGTTGATTAAAAGGTAAATTACCAAACATATATAAGGCAGCAATGCAACATTTTAAAGTATATGAATTATGATAGATTCTATTTTATTATCCGAATACTTTGTATACAAAGTTAATGTACCAATAAAGTTTCCCAGTCACATTTTTTAAAATATTTTAAACATTGTGAGAACAGAACAAAAAGCTGAATTCAGTAGTTTCATTTTATACATTTTAGGAAAATTAACACAACTTCTATGACCTCTTCTGCTTGTATAAATCAGTCAGTGATCATAGAATACCAGGGTTGGAAGGGACCTCAGGAGGTCATCTAGTCTAACCCCCTGCTCAAAGCAGGACCAATCCCCAGACAGATTTTTGCCCAGGATCCCTAAATGGCTCCCTCAAGGATTGAGCTCACAACCCTGGGTTTAGAAGGCCAATGCTCAAACCACTGAGCTATCCTGCATTTACACCAACTAAGGCTCTGTCCCCTAAAGAGAAGAATATATAATAGATGTACACTTAGGGTAACCAGATGTCCCCATTTTATAGGGACAGTCCCAGTTTTGGGGTCTTTTTCTTATATAGGCTCCTATTACCCCGCATCCCCTGTCCGATTTTTCACATTTGCTTTCTGGTCACCCTATGTAAACTACTATTCAGAATGAAGCACAATATACGGTACAAGATACGACAAAAATAACCCAGAACTGAATCACAAATTCAATGCCTCTGGACAAATAAATGATGCTTAATTTGTGATTGCTATTATTTTATTTTTATACAATTCGTTAGAAAAGAGAACGCAGTAGATGTAATATTTAGGATTTTAGTAAAGTTTTTGAAATGGTTTTTCATGAACTCGTACTGAAAAACGGAATCATCTTGACTAGAGTAGGAAAGCTGTCATGTGGACTAAATACTGGCTAAAAAACCTGTAAAAAAAAAAAGTAAAAAAACAAATGTATCAAATTGGGGGGAAATGGGATTTAGTGAAAGATTAGCTCATATGTATAGCTTGACTAAGGGATGTCTAATGCAGCAATGAGCAGACATGATAGTCTGCAAGTATCTGATGATGGTTAACTACAAGGACTGAGGAATTATTTAGTGTGGTACATGGGGGACCACCTGTAGTAATTGAATAAATTTAGACTGAATATCTACATTTAAAACATCTAAAGTGCTTTCTGGCTTGGTATGTGGTGGAATTGGAATGGAGTTTATTGTGGAGCTGCGGCGTCTAGGAGTGTTATGTTTTATGAAGTTTATACAGTAAGGCATGTGCTGAAATTGCTGAGGATGCTAATATGATCTTAACTACACCTCTACCTCGATATAATGCTGTCCTCGGGAGCCAAAAAATCTTACCGCGTTATAGGTGAAACAGCGTTATATCGAACTTGCTTTGATCCGCCAGAGTGCGTGGCCCTGCCCCCCGGAGCACTGCTTTACCGTGTTATATCAGAATTCATGTTATATTGGGTCGCATTATATCAAGGTAGAGGTGTAGTCAATTTCCTTGATTTTCAGTGAGTGCATTGATGGAAAATGCACTTGTGCAATCTCAACAGTAAGCTAACTAAGTTTTAGGAGTAGGAACAAGACTAAGAGTTATGAGTTGGAAGATGATGTTTAATGGTGGTCAGATTTCAGGGATCAAATCTTGGCTTTAGACAATGTGTATAGGGGAAAGGAAAGTTATCCTGAGTCCTCATTTTAGCTCCCCAAATCAATGAAATTCACTCTCTGCAGTCCCTCAACCCACTGAGCTGCAGAGGGGCATTCCAGGTGGGGCTTGGGAATGTGGTTGTGGCATGCACATATAAACAACCCAAGAATAAAAAAAATAATTAAAAAGAGAGCGAGAGAGAGAGAAGGTCCTTAAAGTCAGGTTTCTAAGTTCGTATATACCTGAAGAATTGTTGTGATTTTCAAAAGAACTGAGCATCCAGCAGCTCCCACAGAATACAGGCTAACCAAAATAATTTTACCCCTTTTGACATGAGTTGTTAGCCAGTATTCAAGGTCTTGTGGATTGTTTCCATTAGGAAGAGAAACTGAGGCGAAGTCAGGTATTTCTTTGATGCAATCCGGTTTATTTACAAAAAATGTACACTAAATCCTTTGTCCCTGAACGTAGGAGGAATCAAATAGCAGGAGACGGTTTCTTTGTTCACAGTTTCAAGCCTCTTTTTAGCCAGCACTCTTCCCAAATGCTCTCTAGCTTTTTTCAGGGTCACGCTACAAGTGTTTCTCTGATTATCTCTGGGGTTTCCTTGCTGCCTTCTGTGTACATTGTAGTGTTTCTCTTGCTTCTCTTTGGGTACATCTATACTGCGTTCTTAAGTCAGTTTAGGTAACCTACATTAGCTAATTCATGTTAACCTAGTAGGGAAGACATGGCAATTTGGCTTTCAACTTACGTTAGCGCTACTGTGTCTTCACTGTTGTTAACCCGAGTTAGCTAACACAGGTTACCTAACCTGACTTAAGAACACACTTTATTCGCAGAGTACACGTACCCTTAAACATGCACATGCGCGCACACACAGCTGCAACAAAAAATACTGAGTCCCCTGTGTTTGCATTCAGACCCCAGTAAAACCCCTCTCTCACATAGCTCAGATTCCTAACTGGCCTTGTAAGTGGCCTGTGTTTTGGGTGGTGGCTCTTATTATTTCAGCTGTCTTTTCCATAAAGGAGCTTCATTACTTCTAACATTTGTCACGAATGAAGGGCATCCGGTACACCCAACAGCTTCAGCAAACTTTCACCCAATCCCAGCATAACAACATTACTTTTTCATCCATTTGCCAAAAGAGAGCCAGGATTCTACCCAAGTTTTTATTTCTATTTAGTTTACTTAAATTGCTTTCCCTTTAATAACATGGGGCTTGAGTCCTTCAGCTTCTGATTCACAAAGAACCTCCAATGCTGATTCACTCTTGATAATTTAAGTTAATTGTGAACAGCCCGCTCTCCTCTCCCACAGAAATGTCAATTACATTATTCCAGGAGTATCTGTTAAGCAGGGGTTCATTTTATTGTGCAAATTGCCTTAAATAAATAAACAGCACATTTGATTTGTAGATGAGGAAATTAGTCTAAACAAAGGCCCTTCCTTGAGTTCAGGCTAATTTTTCAAAATGCAAAAATTATACAGAATGATGTATTTTCAGGCTGACACATTTCCTAGCCTGTAAGGTGAAATTAACACCTGGGGTTTGATTTACGTTTGCTCTTTACTAACATGATTTTTTCCTCTTTTATTATGTTGCAGGTTGTTTTAATTCTTTTTTCTTGTATTCTGTGTCTGTACAGCTGATTCCTACCAGCAACTTATTTTTTCATTGGATGATTAATAGTTAAAAGGATGGCCAGGCTGACGGTCTAGCAAAAGGGGACAGTGATATGGATGCAGTGCCTTGGGAGAGACTTACTGGAATTTCCTGAGTGCCCTGTTCTTGCATCTCACTGATAGTACTAAGATAGGCAATATTCTCAAACCTTATAATATTCGATTACAAGATCCACAACCTTTTCAGAAGCATTCTTGGAAAATTGCTGTATCCGAGATAGAGGATGCACAATGTAATCTCCAGGAACTGCTAGCAAATAGAATGATTGCTGAATTGCGCAGACTGTATCCCTCCCCCAAAGTGGTGGCCAGGATCTCTTGTTAATGTCTGACGAGTTCACCTGTGAATAGAGTGAGGCCACGTCTACACTACAAAATTAAGTCGACCTAACTTACGTCGGCATTCAGCCACCGCAGTAATTTCATTGTTTGTCTACACTTTGCTCCTTGTGTCGGTGGTGCCCGTTCTCACCAGGAGTGCTTGCACCTATTCAGCTTTCACTATGGGGCATTGTGGGACAGCTTCTGAAAGCCAGCAACAGTTGATGTAAGCAACACAGTGTCTACACTGACACTGTGTCGACCTAACTACATTGATATTGACTCTACGCCTCCGGTGGAGTTATTAAGTTGGTGTAGCAGGCGAGTTATGATGGCGGGAAGTAAATTTTAGTGCAGATACTTACATAGTTGGTACATGTCAGCTGCCTTGTGTCGACCTAACTCTGTAGCATAGACCAGGCTCAGTTCTCAAAACAATTTTAGACCTACCTGAAGAAACGAAGGATTCTGCTCTGATGACACTTCTTTGTTGTTGGATAATTTGAACATACATCCAGACGGTGTTCCACATCCCCTGGAACCTACACCCTGGAGATTCAATACACATTCTGTACATTTCCCAGAAGGTAGCACAAGCATGTGCTCCTGCGCAGTGAGCCAAGCACCATTTTGAAAAAGGTGTAATTGTACTTTAAACTAGTGGCTGGCAATGGCAGGTGCTGTGAGGAGAGTAGCTGTCGCCACTGTCTTTCCTGGCCGGGTCTGCATGTGTTAGAGCCGCCATGGCTGCATAGGGGTGTCCAAGTCCCACACTGGGAGGGTGGCACTGCACACAAGGGCCCATAATTGTAGCCTTCGCGCCTGGAACAGGGAAGGAGGTATGGTGGAGGCGGAGCGGGCAGCGAGACAGGAGGTCTCTGGGGAGAAATGGGGGGTGGTTGGGAGATGGGGGCTTGGCACAGCCCTGCATCACTGGTGCGTGGTTACTGTGGAGGTGTTAGTAGAGCCCAGAAAATCCGCGGATATCCGCTTTATATCTGCGGATTGTGGATATCCAAGGACAATTTTTGTGAATTGCAGATCGGATGCGGATACGAATTTTGTATCCATGCAGAGCTCTACCTTTGACTAGTAACATTTTTCCTTGGAAAGGCCTAAAACTCTTCTCCTAATGATCCATAAATGTATTCATTAGATTCCACAGAAACAAATTACCTTGAATCAGATGGAAGTGCACCACCTAATTACATGTTTT